GGGGGGGAGCTGGACAGGGGCAGGGGAGGGCAGCTGGGACCAGTATCTGGCAATCCTGCAACACCTCTGGGTTCCGGGAAGTGTGTGACTGCACTTCCCCTCTCCAAACAGCTGGTGCACGCGCTTCCTGAACAGCAGGGGCTGTTGCACTCCAGCAACTTACTTCCATGATGCCGTCCTGCAGGAGGGGCAGGGTGCAGGGAGTCCCAGGGCAGAGCGTGCTGCCTGCACAGTTGGAGCTGTACAGCCCCGAGTCTCCTGACCTCCCACCTCCCCACCACGCAGAAAGGCCAAGGAACTAAGTTACCGGGTGCCACAGCCCCAGCTGTTCAGGCAGCATGCACTGGCTGCTTTGGGAAGAGAAGTGCTTCCCTCTCTGCTGTAGGTCACGTGGGGTCACCCCTGTCCAGCACCCCCCTAGGATGCCAGACGGGAGCAACTGTTCCACTCTGCCCCCACCTCACTACACCTCTGCATCGCCAGGGAGGAATGGGAAACAAGTGTGCTGTTTCTTTAAGAAGTTGGCTAGCCGGCTCTCTCTCTTTCAGAGGGGGTGGGGGAGTGCCGGCTCCTTGCAGAACCCCTACTTTCGCTTTGCAGAACCCCAGGCTTCCGTGAAGCACCAATTGGGAAACACTGGGCTGGACAATGGGTTGTTACTTGGAACTGGCCACCTGGCTTGGAAGGCAGTGGCACTGCTTAACTGCTCACACCCTGCTGCGAGGTGTAGCTGAATACAACCTCCACATGGGAGGTCATATGCCCCCTCCATTGTTGTACCCTCCGCTCATATTGTCCTTTAAGTTCAGAACAAAACAAGTTTTATAAAAGACCTTATTTGATGCACTTTTTAGTGCAATAACACAATGTGCAATCAGCTGGTTCAGCTGCTTACTTTGTGCTTTCCATCCCCTTGTGCTGTCTGGACCATGGTTGTCATAGTGGGGCAGAAAGATTTGAACAACAGAACTAAGCCTGAGTTGAAAATAAAAATGTTTTAGGCTGGCAAATATCAGCTGTTGATCTGGACCCTAGCTTGCCCTGGTAGTCAGAGACATCATCTGATTGGTGCAGTAAGGTTCCACTCTTCACTTGTCCTTCTCCGGCAGAGCTGAGAAGGCTATTTCATCTTACCATGCTGATACTGTGCAGTATGTTTGATTCCAGGTTCGGGTGAAATGCAGGACAAGGACAGGAGGCAGGTAGTGGGTAATGGAAAGGGATACGTGAGGGAGCAAAGACAGAGCAGGTCCTGCGTTTATCAGGCTGGGGTCCTTGCTGATGTAGCAATGTCAAGGTCTGGTGTCATGAGATCAGTCCATCTGCTACAGGCTCCCCTCAAGCATCTCTTTAAAGGCCCCCAAAAGAGTGGTCACATTGGTTTGCCCATCAATTTGGCCGAGTTGCCAAGGCACCCGTTTTGCTAATTTGACTCCCGGTCCTGTAGTCCCCTCTAGTCACAACTCAAGAACTGTGTTAACTCAATCTGTCGTCTTACAATATATTTCCTTAAAACAATGTTTCATAACTCAATTGCAGTTCATGAATCTGTACCCACTTCCCACGGGTGACACTCACAATTATAACAGCACTCATTGCTGGTCTGAGGATGCTAAGGGCTGCCTGCCACATCCCCACCCCTTTCAGGAGCATGGAATCAGCGCCTCCCCACCTCCCTAACACAAACACATAGCTTGCCCAGGGGCCTGGTAAGACTGTCGACTTCCCTGAATACATGCAACAGTTAGAAATTAAAATGAATACATCAAACAGAATCATTAGATGGGTCAAAAAAAAAAAAGACAATCATTTGTTTTGTTTTGTTTTCCAGTGTGGAAACTTATTAATCACTTTTGACAGATTAAGGAGATAATAGATACAGACAGCAAAGGAAGTGCGCTCCTGTGATAATGACATAACGGCTATTGTAATCCAGTTAACTGCAGCAATTATATCCTGTCTGTGATAAGAGACCAGAAGGTGTTTAACTTAATAGCATCAGGTGACAGGTTTTTATTTAAAATCTAGTATAGCATGATAATTAAATCTTTGGAGGTGGGGTAAAGGAAGATTAAGGAAAACAAAAGGAGTCTGAGAACTGAATGAAATACTGGATCCTGAGTTAGGCTATGTCTAGACTGTAGGCTTCTTACGGAAGAAGCTTTTCCAGAAGAGATCTTCCAGAAAAACTTCTTTTGAAAGAGTGAACATAAGAATGGCCAAACCGAGTCAGACCAAAGGTCCATCTAGCCCAGTATCCTGTCTGCCAATAGTGTCCAGTGCCAGGTGCCCCAGAGGGGGTGGACCGAAGACAATGATCAAGCAATTTGTCTCCTGCCATCCTTCTCCAGCCTTTGACAAAAAGAAGTCAGGGGCACCATTCCTTACCCCTTGGATCTAACCTCCATTAATTTATCTAGCTCTTTTTTGAACTCTGTTATAGTCCTAGCCTTCACAGTCTCCTCTGGCAAAGAGTTCCACAGATTGACTGTGTGAAGAAGAACTTTCTTTTATTAGTTTTAAACCTGCTACCCATTCATTTCATTTGGTGTCCTCTAATTTTTATATTATGGGAACAAGTAAATAACTTTTCTTTATTCACCCTCTCCACACCACTCATGATTTTATAGACCTCTATCATATCCCCCCTCAGCCTCCCCTTTTCTAAACTGAAAAGTCCCAGTCTCTTTAGCCTCTCCTCATATGGGACCCGTTCCAAACCCCTAATCATTTTAGTTGCTCTTTTCTGAACCTTTTCTAATGCCAAAATATCTTTTTTGAGGTGAAGAGACCACATCTGTACACAGTATTCAAGATGTGGGTGTACTATAATTTTATATAGGGGCAGTAAGATACTCTTCGTCTTATTTTCTATCCCTCTTTTAATGATTCCTAACATTCTATTTGCTTTTTTGACTGCCACTGCACACTGAGTGGATGTTTTCAGAGAGCTATCCACAATAACTCCAAGATCTCTTGCGTCCACACAGCAAAAGCGCATCGAAAAAGCAATCTGCTTTTTCGAAAGATAGTGTCCACATTGACTGGATGCTATCTTGCATTTAAGTTGTGATTATTATTGATGAAAAAACCCCCTCTTCCCTGTCCATATATGCTCACTCTTTCAGAAAAAGGATTCTTCCTCGTAAAAATAGGTTTACCGCTGTTGGAAAAACCTCTTTGTTCTTTTGACTTTCTGACGAAAGAAACAATTGCAGAGTGGACCTCAGTGTAGTTTCTCCAGAAAAACAGGCGTTTTACACACTAAAATGTACTCTTAGTGTGTAAACTGCAGAGGAAATAAAAAAACAATTATTTCATGTAAAATGAAGAAAATATTACCGGTAGTATTTCAGGTTCTAGTTCTTCAATCTGTATTCATTGTGCATAGTACTCTGATCAGTACTCACTGTACTATGCCACTTTCAATCAGGAATATGTTTTATGAATCCTTATTCTTCTGGCTCGCTTTAGAGCCCTTTGAAACTAAAAGAATCATTAGCATAGATATTCTAAATGCTAATTAACCAGAGGAAGAGAAGCCGAATCAGTCTCTCAGTAAGACCTTCTATACGACTAATCTTCTTTGCCTTAATATTCTTCCCTTTGTAGATTGTTCTTAGCAAAGTCCTCCATGAGCAAAATAAATATTTAAAACCAGCCTGAATTAAGGACCTGACAAATAGGAAGTGGAGGCCCATGAACTAAAATGTGCATCTATGATTTCACATGTATATCTCCCAGTTATGGGGTACAAATTGAGTAACTGAGTTTGGACTGTAATCAGCTGTTTTTTGTGTGCATGATTTACACAAATGCACAAAGACCTGAGTCTCCGTCTTTGGTCTTTTGAAAATTAACGGTCTTGCATTTTAATAAATAAGTAACAATTCCTAGACTAGCCACTAGGTGGAATGTGGCAGTGAATAATAAAAAAATAGATTAGGGAAGTCTGAGTTAGAATGTGTGCAATAGAGAGATCTGTATAAGCCAATCCACAATACAGAACTGTCAGTTACTAATCTTTAGTTTATTTGATCAACAGCTTGGACAATGCATTCTTAAATAGGGAGTTCATAATAGTTATTATGGGTATTAAATATAAGGTTTAACAGGAAGGCAATAGTTATATTAAACTAAATATTGGACATGGCCATTGTTCACTGTGCTATTGTCCATTCGTGAGGCTTCCCAAATCCTCTCTTCTGCACATAGACATGTCACTTTACTCCTTGAGACTTAGATTAAGCAAAGCACTTACACACATTCTTAAATCTGGCTCTATTCAGCAAAGCACTTACACATTAAAGACAATGGTTACAGTTAATAATAAAAAGTTGGATCGCTTGTAATGAAAATATTAGGAAAAACAAACAAATTAAATTGGTTTGTTTGAAAGATTTTTTTTACCAAAAGATTTCTCGTCTAAGATATTTTGCCCTCCTCTGATCCTTCAGCGTTGATGTGGAGAAGTAAAATTCACAGCATGCTACATTCCACCCAGTCCTCAGTGAATCAGTTCCGGGCCAAATATAATCACCTTCTGACATAAATGATGACTTCTGAACAACCTAGAGTGAGAGGAGGAGACTGACCTGCAAACCAAGATGTGCTTTCCCTTGTCATCAGGATCCATATTAGTAATACAGGATTATGAGTAGCATGGACCTGTAAGAACAGCATGTCTCAGTATTGCTACAGCCCAAGACACTTCACTTTCAGATCACAAATTCTAGGCACTGAAATAGTTAAAGCTCACAGCTGCCTTGGCAGATGAATTCCAAACCTGACACAGAGCAGACACAGCAGTTGGGTTCTCAAAGTGAATAATCTCTGAGCTGGTGGAGTTAGTGCTAATTATAGCAGCCTTATCAACGAAGGTTCCCAACCTAGAGCAGAGAAAAGAGGCCTATGGAGGTTTGTAACAAATGAACTCTAGGGCTTATTTTCTCATGCCACAACATGAATGATACGTGGCACAGGTAGACATTCAGGCACAACTCATAAAATCGTTGCTGAAAATGACAAGGAAGTCCTGGCTAAACATAATGTAGCCCTTAATACCTGGGAAATGAGCCAAGATAGAAGATAACTAGATGGCATTGAACTATCTTCAAATAAGCTATTTCTTTAAGCAGTAGTGTTTGTACAATCATGCAGAGGTATAAAAGAGGTTCCCTGTATGCCTCGGAGTTGCATCCTTGAAACGAGCACTGGATACCGAAATGGGAATTTTTCCTCTAAAGAAATAATGGAATAAGGGAGAGATGCATACATAATATCACCACATTCATCTTTGACAATGCTCTTTTCACCCAAACAGTGTACCTTTTTACAATGACAGGTTCTACAGTACACATTTTACACATAAAAACATTGAATAACAAAGTATAGAACCCTACTAACACTGTTCAAACATAGAATGTTTTAATACAGTAAATACAGTATAGTAATACAGTATAAAACAGTATTAATTATGTTCAACTTAGGTAGGGGTGGCAGCTGAATTTTCTTGGGTTGGCTTTTCTATGGCTGGTGTTTTGGTTGCACAAGACTTAAAAAAAAGAGTTGTTCGATATCTGCTCTCCTGCATGAATCTTTGAGTGACAGGGCACCCTGTACCAAGCTTTGCATTGAGAGCCCTGGAGACTTTGGAGACGATTCACAGAAAGGATCACTGCTCTCTATGATTTGTGTCATTTTCTCCAGCAATCCAAAGAAATGGGAGAGATTCTTTGTCAGTCTGGAGAGTTGGCTGTATTTTAAAGAACCCTTATTGAGGGTGCAGGAACAAACCACCCCAATGTGCAGAAGAAATAGCAAATATAGCAGGCATCCTGCTTGGCTTAACAAAGAAATCTTTGGTGAGCTTTAACACTAAAAGGAAACTTACCAGAAGTGGAAACATGGACAGATGACTAGGAAGGAATATAAAAACATTGCTTGAGCATGCAAAGTGTAATCAGGAAGGATAAAACACAATTGGAATTACAGCTGTTAAGGGATGTGAAGGATGACAAGAAAGGTTTCTACAGATATGTGAGCAACAAGGTCAGGGAAAGTGTGGGACCCTTACTGAATGGAGAAGGCAACCTAATGATGATGTAGGAAAAAACTCAAGTATTCAATGCTTTTTTTCCCCTTGGTCTTCACAGACACGGTCAGCTTTAAAGAAATAATGGAAGGAGGTGAGCAACTGATTCATTATGGGAAGGAGGTGAGCAACCATCAGTAGTGAAAGAAGAAGCTAATAACTATTTAGAAAAGCTGGACATCACAAGTCCATGGGGCAGGATCTACTGCATCCAAGGGTGTATAGCCATTGGCTATTATGTGTGAAAACTTGTAGTGCTCAGAGAGGTTCCAGACAATTGGAAAAAGGCAAATGTACTGTTCATTTTTAAAAAAAGGAGGATCTGTGGAACTACGTACCAGTCAGCCTCATCTCAACCCCTAGAAAAATCATGGAGCAGGTCCTCATGGAATGCATTTTGAAACACTTGAATGAGGGATTGATGATCAGGAACAGTCCACATGGATTCACCAGAGTCAAGTCATGCCTGAACAACCAACTTGCCTTCTACGATGACCTAACGTGCTCTGTGGATATGAGGAAAGTAGTGGATGTTATATATATTGACTTTAGCAAAGCTTTTGATACAGTCTCCCATGTTATTCTCGCCGGCAAGTTAAAGAAGTATGGCCTGGATAAATGGACTATTTGGTGAATAGAAAGCTGGCTAGATTGTCAGGCTCAATGGGAAGTGATCAACAGCTTGATATCTAGCTGACCGCTTGTAACAAACAGAGTGCCCCAGGTATTGGTTCTGAGGCTGGTTTTGTTTAACATCTTCTTCAATGATCTGGATAATGGGAGGGATTGCACCCTCAGCAAGTTTGTGGATGACACTAAGATGGTGGGAAAGGTAGATATGCTGGGGGTAGGGATAAGATTCAGAATGATCTAGATAATTTGAAGGATTGGGCCAAAAAAAATCTGATGAGAGTCAACAAGGAGAAGTGCAGAATCCTGCTCTGGGGAAGAGAAGAATCCTAAGCACTGCTACAGGCTGGGGACTGACTGGCTAAGCAGCAGTTTGGTAGAAAAGGACCTGGGGATTACAGTGGATGAGAAGCTGCATATGAATCAGCAGTGTGACCTTGTAGCCAAGAAGGCTAATGGCATATTGGGCTTATTAGTAAGAGTATTGCCAGTAGATCTAGGGAAGTGATTATTCCCCTTAAATTGGCACTGGTGAGGCCACATCTGGAGTATTGCATCCAATTCTGGCGGCCCCATTACAGAAAGGATGTGAGCACATTGGAGAAAGTCCAGCAGAGGGCAACAAAAATGATTAGGGGGAGGGAGCACATGACTTACGAGGACAGGCTGAGGGATTTGGACTTATTTAGTCGACCGAAGAGTGAGGAGGGATTTGATAGCAGCCTTCAAATACCTGAAGGGTGGTTCCAAAAAGGATGGAGAAAGGCTGTTCACAATAGTGACGGATGGCAGAACAAGGAGTAGTGGTCTCAAGTTACAGTGAGCGAGGTCTAGGTTGGTGTCAGGGGTTCGGCTCCCCCTCAGGCTTACAGCCCTGTCATCATCGGGGTTGCCTGCCCCTAGTTACCCCTTTAAAACCCGTGTTCTTGGGTCCCTGAGCTCCCAAAACCGCCAGTCAATTCCCGGAGCGGTCCGTTGCTGCCTGGAAGGGGGTCGGGCCGCTTGCTCAGTGGTCCGGCCAGAGGGGAGGACTGCCCCCCCGCCACTCACCAGTTCTGGCCGCTTGCTCCACACTCTCCCATTCCTCCCTCCTCTTCCGAGACGGCCGTCCGGCCCTTTTGAATCCCCCGCTGGTTCTCTCTCCACCTCCTCCTGTCACGGGGCGATGACTCACCCTGGAGCCCATGAGTCACAGTTGGATATTAGGAAAAACTATTTCACTAGGAGGGCAGTGAAGCACTAGAATGGGTTACCTAGGGAGGTGGTGGAATCTCCCTCCCTAGAGGCTCCAAGTTCCAGCTTGGCAAAGCTCTGCCTGGGATGATTTAATTGAGATTGGTTCTGCTTTTAGTAGTGAATTGGACTCGATGACCTCCTGAAGTCTCTTCCAGCCCTGTGATTCTATGGCCCCTGAGTGATTTTTTTCTGTTGATCAAAGGCCCTCAACCCAAAACACTTTCCCCATCACGGACTTAAATATTACCTCATAACACAGGATTCAGGTTAGTGCATACTACAACTCACAAGCATTTCAGAGTCCAAACACAAAACACAGTCTAAACTTTACATCTATTTTAAGAAAGCTAATGCACAGGTGAGTCAGACTGGTTTCCTGCTATGCCTTGACATGAGCTGGCACTTAGTCTGACAGCCTCACAACAGGCCAAAACTGTCTGAATGTTCAATGGCAGAATAAAGGTAGGAGACTATTCATAAGGACTGCTTGAAAGTTATTGCATCAGTGACTTCATATGTCAATTTCATTTGTGGGCAGACACTTTAAACCCACACTGCATTCTGAAAGCTTACACCTCCATTCACGTGTGTGGGGCTGGAGTTTGAGAGTGGAAGACCACTACTTAAATTACTTAGACTGTATGAATAGCAGTATGCCTGTAAGTCCTGACAGTGAGTCTGTGCTGACAGTCAGGCGAAAAGTGCTCTGCCATTTCCAGGCATCCAACTCCCTGCAAAGAAACTAATTCTCAGCCACAAAAAAGTTTCAAGATAACCAGCAGAACCCATCAGGAAAACAGCTACACTCAAGGTAATTGGAATTTTCACCTCTTATTACAGTTATCCTTGTTTAATGCTGAGTTCCTGCAGGTTGCCCTGGTGAGCTAACAGTAGATGTGAAGCTTGCAGAGCCATATTCTAGGCTAGAGTGCATGATAGTCTAGAACCTGCTTGTGACTTCAGAGGGGTCTAGCCAGGCCCAGTACTGTGGTGCGCCTGAAGCAGGAGAGGGAAGCTTTGGCAAGTGCTCATTTTGCTTTGATACTGCACAGTGACATGAGGTAGAGGTCTCCTTTATTTTGGTACATAGTGCAAATTGGAGAAGGGATAGAAACTAACACTAGGATGGTTCTCTTTGCGTCTGATTTTCCTTCTACTGTGCAACTATGCAGTAGGGGACCTATGGGAAACGTTTAATGCACACTGGGATCTTCTGGGATTCCATCCATAACGTGAGTGCATAACTGATTGGATAACAGTTGTCAGAGAATAGCTATTAATGGTTCACAGTCATGCTGGAAGGTCATAAAAAGTGGGGTTCTGCAGGGATCAGTTTGGGACCGGTTCTGTTCAATATCTTCATCAATGATTTAGATGATGGCATAAAGAGTTTGCTTATAAAATTTACAGATGATACCAAGCTGGGAGGGGTTGCAAGTTGCTTTGGAGGATAGGATCAGAATTCAAAATTATCTGGACAAATTAGAGAAGTGGTCTGAGGTAAATAGAATGAAGTTCAATAAGGACAAATGCAAAATACTCCATTTACGGAGGAACAATCAGTTTCACCCATGCAAAATGGGAAGTGACTGCCAAGGAATGGGAAGTGACTGCAGAAAGGGATATGGGGTCATAGCTGACTACAAACTAAATATGAATCAACAGTGTGACACTATTGCAAAAAAAGCAAACATCATTTTGGGATGCATTAACGGGAGGGTTATAAGATAGACATGAGAAGTAATTCTTCCCCTCCACTCTGTGCTGATT